TTTCAGTTTACCCCCCACCCCACAAACACGTATACGCCGATCGAGCATGGGTGGCCACATCGGGAGCCACATGCTCTGACTCGCGTGAACAGCGAGGGGTCCAAATTGCTAAATTACAGGATTATTCAGAATAGATATTAACAACATTCGAAAATAAAAATACAAAATGAACTCAATCAGAGGCGTCGACCACGCGCGTTGGAAATAAATAGAACGCGTTGTGACACAGTCTCACCAGCCTCTTTCACTCACGCAATATAATTGTGCTATTTCCTAGGGCACTTATATTTATAACATTGACGAAAAACACCACAAGAAAAATGTAAATCAGGCTTGTAATTACTAGTAACTCACTCGAACGCAATATTCATCACTGTAAAAGTGGATAAATTCGAACCAGCCAGCTCATGACCGGAGACGTCCGGTCGTCTTCGTTGATAACTCGCAAATTCACCATAATCGTGGTGGTAAACTGTTTAGCTGTTTTTTTCAAAAGACGGATATTCAATTCATTTTTCGTCTTAGCCTTGTCTTTTCATTAACCGTCGCAGTCCGCTTCATTGAATGTTTAGTTTGATAATTGATAAACATATATTCAGTGTGAGACTGTTGCTTTCAAGTTGTGTTAATACAAAGATGATTTAAACTTTTCCCTTCCGTTGCCAACGTATTCAATATACGGAAATAGCATGTGTGTGCGTTTGCGTGAGTGAAAGATGCTAGACGCAATGTTCCCGGAACCACCGTAGGTGGCGCAGCACACGACTAAGGCTTTCACGGAACACTATCAATATCTTTCGTAGTAAAATATCAGGTAATGACCTAAAATGCCCCACATATGTATGTTGTAGCCAACATTTTCACATTGTATCGGATGGGACGCCTGAGAATGGTTTCAAGGGGGTTGGAAACGATGGAAAACATACGAAACAGTATATATCTGAGCCAGAAAATAAATTTTATGATTACATTTAATAGACCTGTGACGTCACAAAAAACGTCATCTTCGGCAGGTCTTACGAAGTAACGGGCTCGGAAGCATTCGCTTATGATTTCACTGATGTCACCAAAACGTCATCTTCGGCTGGTTTTCGAAAGCAACGTCCTCGGAATCATTCGGGTGCTCTGAAATATTATCCAAACAAAGTTTGAAGATGATGGATAGGTAAGTGATAATGTGATACTTCAAATCATCTGCAGTAGCCTAACTG